GTGCTGCCACTCGGTCCTAGTCTTATGCTCCTAGAACACTCACAAACTTTAGGCACATTCTGGTATTATATTTAATCTACCCAGCTGCCTGCCTGCCTGGGAGGCCATCATGCAGCTATGGCAGCTGCAGAAAGTGGACTCATCTCTACTGCCACATAGGCCACGCTAAAACTGCTGGTACTACACAGAGATGACAAGTTTCTTTACACCTAATCCATTACTCCCAGACCTACCACTACCAGAATGCAGAATCTAGGCTATTTACTTCATTGTAAAACCAGTTCCATTTCAGTATTTCTGTTATGGACCACAAAACTGAGCTTCATACAGACAGATCAGGTGTCATCTGTACTTTTTAGGGCTTCCCTGTATCAGGCAACTACTATCTGGGTTGGCTTACCCTCTCATTTCAAAAGCAGCTGCTTTGTGACTGCAGAAGAAGCTGAAGGTTGTGGTGGGAGGTGTTCTGTGATCTAGGGTTGCCCTAAGAAAAGCAAAAATAAAATCCGTCTGCCTGCATGTCACTACTGAGAGAGGGCTTGATGTAAGTAAGGGTCAGTAGCGGTTTATGGAATAAATGAAACAAATCACAAAACAGAAGAGGACTGTAGAGTTCACTACAGTCACTGAGGACATCACATGGAAGCCTCTCAGATTTCCTTAAACTCAGTTGAAAGGAGAGAGAAATCTGGCAGAAAAAGAGAGAGAGGGAAATCTTCATTCAGATTATGAGGAGGGGAGTGGTAGGGCAAGCAGCTAGATAATCTCAAAAGCCACTAAATCTCTGGAAAGAACTGGGCGGAGGGAGGAAAGCGCTTAAACAACATCTTGTCATCAGTATTCCTAGGAAATCCACTGACAATCACAGCCAAGGATTAAAAGATGTTTTAAAAAAATAATAGCTAAATGAACTAAAGAAGTGTCAGAGAAAGTATAAATCTCATTCCTGACCCTGATAGGTCACTGACTGACAGCAAGACCTGTAGCCAGTAGCCCTTTAAAGGAGTAAGTCAGCTACACATGATGGAAGTTCCTGCACTTCAGGTCCTCAGACGGAAGGATTGCTACGCAGGGGACTAAAGCCCACCTCTCTGAGAAAGAGGAGTGTTGTTTCTACATGGCAATAGCACTGCTATTGCCCCCACTGAGTTGTCTTTATACTGCTGAAGGATTGCAAAGCACTTTTCAAACTATAGGTTGTAAAATCCACAGAAGGCAATACTGATGGAAGAAGTGTAATTAAGAAACTCATCCAAAATGCAGAACATGCAAGCAACTCAAGAACAGGACGCTCATGGGGACTGGTACAGAGCAGCACACTTCTTTGGAGTTTCGAAACTGAACAGTGCAACCACTACCTTAAAAAGCAGGAAATTCAGATGCACAGCTATGTGGTCAGGCATTTAAGGCATACAAACCTGAAGAATCTATGGATCTCAGCAATTACATGACTTAAAATGGTATTTTGCTCAGCTGAGGTAACAGGAGCTTCGAGTTTTACAGTTCACACACATAGATAAATTCCAGTACTCTTCCCTCCAGCTACATCAAACTCACTGAAAGCACAGAACACTCCATGCCCTTCAGAAAGGGACATTCAACATTCCCACACTTATGAGGCTGAAATAAGTAAAAATTTTCTTTCAGTGACACGAAATTACACAAATCCCCAAACTGATTTTATATTGAGCGCTACAGCTGTTGGCATCTTTCTCTCGAGACAGCCTGACTAAAGTCTATGGAGAGCACCATCCAGTCACTTCAGGTGAACAGAAGTCACCACTGGGGAACCTGCAGTATTCACCTGTAGAGCTGCTTCCTTATCTATGAGGGCTCCATACAGTTTACACGATGTAATGCAGGTAGGTACAAATCCTTTCACACACAGACCTATGAGAGAGCATGCGCCAGTTTTACAAAGCAAACTATAACGTCAAGCAGTGATCAACTCTCAATTAATAGGCTTTATTAGCAACTGAGGCCACTGTGATGCCTCTTCACTACATAACAGCACAATGGCTCTCTTCTCGATAACAGGCAGAAAAGTATGATGGGTAGGTTCTCATTTCTATGTCTACAACTGCCATTTAACAGAGAACAGACTTTTATTTATCTATGTATATACACACAGACACTGCTTTTCCTCCCCAATCACAGTAAAAATATGCAAGTTTAGTGCAGAATTAAGACTTGATTCTCTCTATTCCCAGTGCAGGAAATTAGTGCTACATAATTCATTCTAACATAAATATATTTGCTGAGACTCCATTAGGTACATTTAACAAAAAGTACAGTTATTATCAAGTCTCACCCCTCGAGCTCTCCTTCTGCTCCTTGAAATAAACTGAAAGCCTACTACCCTGTCTCATTTAAGGCTTTGGATATAACCCATCTCCAAGAACCCAAGTACAAATACTGATTTAGATCTCTTTCATTTGAGAGGAAGATGACCTCCTCCTAAGCTTTTTTTTTTTTTTGGTAACACAGAAGCAACAAACCATCACTTGAATGTGAACTCAATCACAAATTAAAATAAAATATCACATGTCAGCCTTCATGAACTTCGTGAACTTCATGCACACTGGTAGGGCAGATCCAGACAGAAAGTTCACTTTGCACCTGCCACACTACATTCAGCGTCATTATGGGCAGAGACTTGAAAAGCTAAGCCAAAAAACATACAAAAATCTGAATGTGCAAAGAAACCAAATACTGTTGATCAAATCCCTCTTGATGCTGATTAATAATAAAGCTGGCCAGAACCTGCTATGATTTAAACTTGCACTCTGCTCAAGCACAACTTCAGGGAAGACTGACAGAACTAGAAGCTGAACCACAGGTGCAGAAAAAGCTGGCTGGGTCTGTGAACTGCCTTCATGTCATGCAGTGATGTAGAACAGTGCATGGTTGTTGGGAACAAGAGCCGACCAGTTACACAGTGATCACTCAGGTCTTCTGTTTGTTTTATGAGAAAGAGGTTTTACCAATTAGATTCAGATAAATCTTTCTAAACAGGAAAGAATATATATATAAAAAGATGCTGTTAGAATTAGTCAGAACCACAGTCAACCAATAAGGTTTGTGGCTTCAGGAGAAGTAAAAAGTTGCCACCAGCTAACGTGCAAGACAGTAAGGATGAGCCATCTGGTGAAGGTTCCTGCTAAGCTTGCCATGTAACCCCCTTTGCTGAGGAAAGCAGAAGGGGAATCAGTTACATTCTGTCCTTGCCTGCAATTGCGTGGCCAAGTTTAGAACAAACACCAGGCTTTCCAGCACAACCAGAAATTTTAACTGTTCAGAGTTTTTAGCAGCCCATTTTACTCTTAATGCAACCCACAAAGCATGAGCTAAACTATTTACAATAAAACTCAATTATTCAATTTCTGAAAGCTGAATTTATCCTCAAGCTTTATCAACCCTTGTTGTTTATGTCCTTTGTTTCCTTCTGCAAAAACTGCAACTGCCAGGAGGCTTCCAGTCATCTAAAGAGCATCAGTAAACAAGAGCAGAGACAGATGGCTGCAGCTCAGTATAAAACAGCACTACACCCAGCCTCTCCTGCACTGCTAGCGCTCCCTGGAAGATACAAACGTATGCATGAGACCAAACAAGAATGCAGTAGTCCCAGATAGAAAGCAAGTACATATCTGTAATCAGAGAAGGAAGAAGCCACTATGAGGACAGGATGCTGAGGTTCCATGTACAGTGAACATTCATTTCAACTGTACAGCCTTTTCTAATCAAATAATTGGTTACAAGGATGGCAGAGGGCGTGAGGAAAGATTTCTCCCCTGCTGCTGCTCTCAGAAGCACTGCTGGCAAAACAAACAAGCAGAAAATCAGCAGGGAAAGTAAAACCAAGAATCTCCTTTCAGCAGTTACTTTACACCAAATGTACAGAGGCTGAGAAAGTAACAGCTCTGATAGGACTCATTCACCTGCTACTTCAACAATTCAATCACGTTAACAAATAGGTTAACTCCTTATTAAAATGACTTAAAGAATAAAAGAAAAACACAAAGTAACTCACAGATCTAGAATGACAGAAGTCTGTCAAAACAACCATACTGCTCTTTTGTTCCTGGATTTGATTCTTTTTCATTTACTGCATTTCATTTACTGCATTTACTGCAGGAGACCAATGGCAGTGTTAATACGAGATACTGCCTACAATAATGTACAATTATGTATGTTGCCTTGCTGAACAGATTGAGGTGTCCACATGGGTTCAGTAAGTTTATTTCAATTGACATCGATCACTGTTCACTTCTTCCACCACCTCGAAATTCACTGCAATTCCACAGACATCTGCACGCCTGAATGTTTTACACAAGAATGAGTTCAAACACGGCCCATTCTTCCTCAAACAAAAATTCTGATTCTGCTAAAATTAAATTAAGAGCATTCCCTCAGGGCTTCCTGATACTCACAGTTATTCCCTCACTTAGTGACAGCAGAAAGCTTCAACAGGGTTGCACAATCATCACTTCCAATCAGCAATAATTGAAGGATGACAGAATGAGAATCTGGCATTCCAATTAATACAGGCAGGAAAAAACAAGACTGTGGAAAGAGTATGATTATTGGTAAAGCTCCAGCAAAACCCTCAGGCTGTAGCATGTTGACATGCTACCACCTCGGAGGCACAGTTTAAGTACTCCTCCGTGAAAGAGTAAGAGGAAAGGAGTGATCTGTATAGGAATACTGAACAGTTCTGGCCCCCTTTTACCTCAGCAATCACACCAAAACTTAAAGAGCTGATTAACATCGGACTCAGCTGATCCTCTCAAGAGAAGACTGAAGAGAATTCTGAGGAGTACTTCTGCAGGACTTTTCTGAAACAGAACAACTACAAGGTAAACAGATTTTTCACACTGAACAGTTCCCCTCCTTGGGTGATTCAACCAGGTTCATCTAGAAAACCTCTCCTATGAATGTCTATGATGCCATTTCCTATCCTATGCATTTAAAAAAAAATAAAATGGAAAGCTGGTACACACCTGCATCTCCATGGAAGAGGCTGTCGTGGTGACATCTCCCAGAAGGCAAATCTCCATCACTTGGCCAGATCTGTCCCGTTTTTCGTACGCCCACAATAGTAGCCTCAGATACAATGACCTGCTGCTGCCTGTGCCGTTTCTGAGACTGGGGAGTTGGTGGACTGCTACTGTCAAAGGACTGCTGAGAGTTCTGGGAGGGAGAACGACTTTTATCCCGATACATGCGGTAAGTGGTAGGGCTGGGGGAGACGTGGCTGGACTGCCCTGAAGAGAAATCTTCCTCACTGGAGGTAAGGTTCTCATTAGAGCTACAATCAGGAGTATACCCTCCTCCAATGTCTTCAAAACTCCTGGGGGAATAAGATCTCCTGGGCCAAGTGAGATGTTTCTCCTGGTCAGCTGTACCCTGATTTCTCAGGATAGGTCCTTTCCCTTCTGTCTCCCCCATCATTCCACCAACATAGATACTTTGATAGGGCTGAAAGTCCATGGGCTGCCAAGGTGAGCGGTTGCTGCCATTGGCATTTATCAGATTATCTTTGAGAAACCTGGGGTTCAGTTCAGCATCTTCATATTCTCCATCATAGCCAAAACTGCTCTCTGAGGATCTCCCCCTGTAAGCAGGCCGCTGGAATTCATTGAAGCTGGGTACCATGTTTGAAGGAAGGGAGTGTAAGGACTTTTTGCGTTCCATTTGCATGGCTTGACTACCAAGAGAGCTTATTTTATCAGAAACATCTTTATCGTTGACCTTCACTAGACCCTTCTCATGATGATACTCCATGTTTACATAAAAGGGTTTTTCAACAACATCCTTGTTATCTCCAGAATGATGTGAATTGCCCTTTTTAATCCTCTCAAAATTGGACCTTAGGGCTGCCACACTGGTGCTGTTTCCTCTATCCTTGGAAATAGGTTCAAACAATCCGTCCTTCTCAGCAGATCCCACTAGCCTGCGAGTGGAAGACGATCTGTGTTTTGAAGGAGATCCATCTGTGTCACAGCGACTTTCTGTATCTTCTGCAACTCTCTTCAATTTCTCCTCGCCATAATACTTACACCTGTCCTGTTCCCCTTCTCCGTGATGGGGACTGTCCAAAGGTGACAGGTCTGACCCATCGCTCTGGGTAGACAGCTTTCGCAGAGAAGGCATCCTGGGTTTGAACTTTTCCTCCCCATGGTGCGACTTGCTTTTTTCATGTTCATCTTGGTCAGCAGACTGGTGATGAGGCAGGTCTTGGACCTGCTGGTCAGCACCCCCTTCAGGCAACTGAGAAGCACGTTTAAAGCCCCATCTCTGTCTATCATAGCTTTTTTTCTCCTTTGCCAGAAGAGTCTGCAGGTAAATCATGCGGAACCTCTCCTTGTTGACCTCCATCTCCAGTCTCCGGATGGACGCTTTGCACATCTCCAGCTCCTGTTCAATATCTCCCACAGATTTCAGCTCCATTTTAGGAGGCTCAGAGTCTGCAAACTGCGCTTTCCAAGCCTCTACAAACCCCACAGGGTCCACCATTTTGCATACAGGAGAAAGTGGAGAATAAGGGAAGGAAGCTGGAGAGAGATAGGTGGAGAGAATAAACCAACCGATCTCACATGTAGAAGCCGAAACAGCTCCGACAGGGTCAACTCAACGCGTTTCTTCACGGTCCATGCAGAGAAACGGGGAAGCAAACGGCGATCCTCGGAACAATCTCTTCTCCTCGCCTCCTCCACCTCTTGCCGTCCCCAGCCCCCCGTACGCTCGCTACTCTCCCCCCGTCATGACTGATCCTTCGCTAGCGAACAACAACGCTCCCACCCCGGCGACTCCATAGCACTTCAAAGGGAGGTGGACAAAGGAGCGGGCTCGGGGCGGGGGAGGAAAGGTAAATATCGCCCTCCACCCATCCACCCACCCACCTCCTGCCTCCGCCGTCCCGGCCACGGTCCTCAGCGCCGCCGCGCTCAGGAGCCCTCCGCTCCGTCCTCCCCTTGCCAGTCCCCGTGTTGTGCTTTCTCTTTCTCTCTCCTCCTTTCCCCCTGCCCCTTTCCCTGTCTCCTCCTCCCGGCTATTGTGCTGTCCTCCGGGCGCACACGCTCTCCGGAGCGTCGGCGCGTCCCGCGGAGATCTCCGCCGCTACCCCTCGGTGCCCGGACGCCCCGCGGCCCCGCGGGAGCCCCCTCGGCGCGGCTGTGACGGCGGTCGGCGGCGCGGCTCCGGCGGCTGCCCGCGGCTGCCCATCGCGCGGCCCGGCTCTGGCGGCGGCACCCCGAATCGCAGCGCTGCGGAAGGGGAGGAGAGGAAAGGAGCCGGGCGCGGCGATTGACACGGCGCCGGGGCCTCTCTTAAAGGGGCAGCCTGGGCCGGCGGAGGGAGGCCGTGCCCGCGGGACCCCGCCGGGCTCGGGGAAGACGGCCCGGGGCCGCTCCCGCCGGCACGCTCGAAGGCGGCCGCCGGGGAGACAAAGGCGCGGATTTGCACGCCGTGTACACGCCCGTCCGCTCGCGCTTGCGGCCGCGGACTGCTCAGCAACCGAGCCGGGCGCCGGCAGCCCTCGGCTCGGACGAGGCACATCCCTGTGTGCGCGGACCGCCCCTGCATCCACGCCCTCTCGTCCCGTGTATAAACGGAGCGCCCTGCCCGGTGCTCGGAGCGGCGCTCCCCTCGGGCACTGATGTAGCTCGCCTTCAAAGGTCACGTTTGCCCCCACAGCTGCAAAAGCTGTTAATTAGTGGGCGCTTCGTTCACTCGAGCCTTCCTTCACGATCGGGTACACTGATAAACGACAAGCTGGTACTCAAAATAGCTACGATAGTAGTAACCAAACCTGCTTTGTTCTATCATCACTCTCACTTTTGCCTTATATATTATGCTAGCCAAAACAATTCAGAGTACTGCTCTCTAGCTCTGAGTGAAGGGTGGTGAGCTGTGACCAGAAGTTTGGCTGCTTACTCTCTCCTGCTTCTCAAACCATGGCACACAGCCTTGCTTAAGCCCTTTCCACATACTAATTCAGCCCCTGGAAAAGTGGAATTATAGATATATTTATCACCGTATTTCCTTTCTGGATGATGAGAAAAGTGAAACGTTGCACATCTCAGTATCCCTCATAAACCTGCTCCTTTTATGTCTGACGTGGGACAAACCACCCAAGTGTCATGTATCTTTTCTCATATATTTTTTTAGAAAAGATGGTGGAATGTAGCACCAGCAACAAGTGGTGCAATTCCTTAAGAGTGAGAAGCACAGAGCCAGAGGAGCAGTTCTCTTACCTTCAAAATATGCAGTGCTTCACAACCCGCTAAACCATTTTCCTTTCTGTGTTCTGAGACAACACAAAGTATTTTCAGACATCACAAATGGCCAATCATGCGTTCAGCTTCAAATAGTGCATCCCCCTTGCTGTTTGTTTCCTGCCCTTAACCTCTTTTCCTGCACTTGTTTTCTCAGCTTTTAACACATCGACTGATCTATACAAAAAAGCAGATTATAATCAAAATCATAATAAAATCTGTATACCAAGTCATTATCTATACAAGCCTTCCAAGAAATCTCAGTGTTTCACAGGAAGACAACTTGGCTTTTCACCATTGCTACTATTTGCCTTCATGCCTGTTTGACCACTGACATTCTGATATGCAATGTATTCCTAGTAAGGTTAACTTTCAGACTGTGCTAGCATGGTTGTAATACTGGCACATACATTACACCATGGGGATGTGTTGTGAGTCTGGAGACTGCTTTTAATTCAGTGCCATTGGTTTTGTTGTTATTTTTAAAATTATTTCTGGAGTGTTTTCTATTTGGGCTCACTTTTTTCATATCTGTGCCATCTCCAGCTGCATCAAGATTTCTAATGGATCATAGGAGGCCTTTCTGTACGCACAATTCACTTGTGGCAAATACTATTAAACAACTGCATCCTCTGTATTTCTTGAGGTACAAGGTCAGAAATTCCAGTGACCGTTCAAGCGGTCTCTGGATTGACGCTGTTCCTCTATGCATTCATTTTAAGAGATTACAAAATTTCATTAAGGCCATAGTGGCAGACACGTATCGGTGATTTGTAGCAGTGAGTGCTGTGCTGAGGGGGCAGTGCGTATCCAGCCCGCACCCTCTGCTGCCTCGCCCGGCCTTTCCAGCAGAAACAGAGCGAGCACCGAACTGACCATGGAGCTCCCTCTTGTGGGAAAGAACAGCTGATGCGCTTGGCGTTTAGAGCGCTGGAGCTTCACAGTTACGAAGTTTGGGGTTGGTTCTGGGGGTTTGTTTTTCTGTCTGTGTCACCCAGCGCGGGAGAATCAGGAGTCTTTGTAAGAAAAACAAAACAAAACAAAGCAAAACAAAACAACAACAACAACAACAAAAAAACAAACGCAAGCACAGAAGTGGAGGCTTTTTAAAGAGAAAGAAACCCTGATTTCTGATAAATACGTGGCTGAAATTAAGAGCTATCTTTGTAGCGTAAGGTAGCACTCACTTTTGTGGTAGTTTGACATGACCAATAATCTCCTGAAGTCCTGTCCAACATACATCACATTACGATAGCAGTCCTCTTTCTTAGGACTCAGAGAATGGCAGTGAGGTGAGTCTGACTTGGAGAGCAACAGGAATGATATGGATCATATGACCTACAAGAGTATGAAAGAAAACACCCCAAGGGTCACATCAGCATTCAAAGGGAGAAATAATATCACTAAGGATGAAAACAAAAGGTTTTTACAGTAAAAATGAGATTTACCTGCCTGGTGACTCTTTCTTGAATGGCTCTTGATTTGTTACCAGTTGTTTTTCCTCAGATATACGTACTTATTTAAATAGAAACTCATTAGCTGATTAACCTGTATTATGAAAGGCATGAACTAGCATAACACTAGTCCATCTTTGCGGAGATAATTACATCTACTCTTTCACTCTGCTTCACACTCATTATGAATTTCACATTCTCTGATTTCTTATCTACAAACTCCACAGGAAATGGTTATGAAACTGGTGCCATCAACACTATGAAGGCTTCACCTGGTAAAAAAAATTATGTTTTAGCTTGCCTGCATTCAGAGTTAACAGAATTGTTCTGACACTGCTTTCCACAATCTGAGGGCTTTCCAAAGCAAATTGAAATTGCTGATAAAATGGATCAACAAGCATAGATGCAACATAAACAAGATAAAAACATTTAAGAACTTGCAATCTGATATTTCTTTTCCCACCCAAGGTTAGGTTTCCCTTTGTGCTTTCCTAAGCAATCCATCAATTGTAAGATCTAAGATTCATTTTCGATGATCAATTATTTATACTTTGCAGGGGCAGCCTCACAGGGGCTTAAAAAAGGTCTCAAAGCATCCTTCACAGCTTGAATGGAATCAGGCCATCTCCAGAGGATAGCTGCTGACTAACAGACTAATGCAGTTTTGGGTAAAGTTTTTGGAACTGAGGAAGATATAAACCACTAATGACCTCAAGCAGTGTACTTAATCATTAGGAAAACTGTCCCAGTTGATTTTCAAAACAACATTGCTGAAGAGATTATATCTCTGATTTTGTACGAGAATTACGGTCAGCAACAAGAGTCTGTGATTTATTTTCTTTATTTACTTCAAAAATTATATATATATATATATATATATATATATATATATATATATATAATTTACTTCTGATTCATTTTACACTGTAGGTACCAACCGTGTGTCTGCACTGAAACCTAGCACCTACCTAGCATAGACAGGAAGACATCCTGCAAAACCTGCCTTTTGACCTCCAGGACCGTTATCAGTGCTCCTAGGAAAGAGGCAGACCAGTAACTGCTCAGTAACAGCCATGTGAAACTACAAGGATGCACCATGGGTATAGATAATACTCAGCAGAAGGACTGCTGCTGCAGCCACACTGAACTTGTCCACCCTACAGGTCAGTTACTGTCCTTCAAATGACAGTAACTGGTACTGTGTCTGAGTTTTCTTCTCTGACACACTTCAGCATTGCTCAAACTGCATAACAAGACTGCTTATGTCCAAAAAATATATAGATGCAAGCACAATTTGGTCAGAAATGCAGGCTCGAGCCTGTTCATCATGGTAGCAAACAGCCTTGAAGCACATCTTTAGAATAACTACTATATGAATTATTTCCTCTTACAATAACATCTTTAACAAGGAAACAAACTGAGAATAAATGGATGATAACAACACACAAAATTCTGAGTTTCAAATCAGTTCATAGACAATTTTCCATGTGCAAACAAAGGATTTTAATACTATTTTTAAGAGCTTCTACCAGTAATATGAGGTTAGCAGTACTCATGCACTCACAGCACAGTATGAAGCAATGGCCATGTGGCTCTAATGGCTTGTAAAATTGCTTTGAAAAGCATTACAGAAATGCAACATGTTTTATGTGCATGCACTATACACAGCAGTAGAGTGAAATGTCTTTTTCTACCCTCATTCAAGCTCAGTTAGCACAAAGATTGTGGCTCTGGTGCCCACTCAGTATCAGACACAGTACAAGTGGAGCGTGTATTCATCATCCTGTGAAAGAGATGCAGGTCAGGATATTCCACAGTCAGACTCCTTACATACCCACATATTCATCTTCTTTACCAAATGCTACATTGTTGACCTTGCCAACAGAATCAACTGCAAAAGAGAAAGAGAAAAAAAAAAAAAAAGATCCTAGATCTCTATTACATTATTTGTAATTGCTCTAGTTTACATCACAAGCTATGGAAAAATAAAAGTAATTAAAAGGCTGCAAGCCACCTTTTCACTCACTTTTTCATAGAAGACAATTTTTGATGAAATGAATGGTTGAGAATCTAGAATATTTTTAGCTCAGAATCATAGAACTGTTTGAATTGGGCTAGATGACATTTAAACCTTGAATGTCTGCAGGGACAGAGCAGCACCACCTCACTGAGCAACCTGTGGCAGTACCTCACTGCCCTTGCTGCAGAAAACTTTTTCCTTATAACCAATCTAAATCTCCCCTCTTAATTTGAACCCACTGAGACCTGTTGAAGACTCTGTGCCCTTCTTTCCCATATTGCTCCCTTTAGATTCTGACAGGCCGCTCTCAGCACCCTTTTCTCTGAACTGCCATTTGTATTCTGTTCCCATGAGGATGCAAATTCAGTAATCAAGATTTCTAGAGAATTATCAAAACCCAGCATGATAAAGTTACATAACTTTTGAGTACAAGTTTTTCTGGCAGACAGATGAGCACATGGTGCTGGCAATGTCTTCTTGCGCTGAGACAAGGATGTCATATTTCCACTACACAGAGAAAAGTTCATGTAACAATACCATCCAGCACAAGCAAGTCTTCAACAACAAGAGAGCCCTCAGAAAGATAGTTTGAATAACATTTTTCTCCCTCATTTCTAAAAATGCAAATTTTTACTTCTGATTTTAGAGCTTTTGTTGTTGCAGGTGCTGTATGTTGGACTACAGAGCAGTGTGGCATTTGCAGAGTTGAAAATCAGCAGCAACTTGAGCTTTCTTGAGCTTTGCCTTCTGAGATTTCCATCAGGTTCTGTTCCAGCCCTGTAGAAGCCAAAAAGTTATAAACTCAGGTCATTAGAAATAACATCACCCAATATTAAAGGTAGTAAGAGCTGAATGAAGCCCCTCAAAAGACTGCAGTTAATATGCTTGCAGTTGTGTGAGACAGGCTTCAGTGCTCAAAAAACCTCCCCAGTCCTTGATGCAAAATACAGACAAGCAAAACTTAACGTACTGATGAGGTCTCCTGTCCCAATTTGAGCCATGTGCCCCGTGGTTTTCTCCAGCTCCCTCATCATGGACTGTTCAAAGGCCAAGGCAGCAACTCGGGAAAAGAACTCTTTGACATTTTCCCCTAGGAAACAGAACAAAAAGGATGCGTTTTTGCAACTGCACATCAGTGCCTGATCAGGTACGAACAAGCACACCTGTGAACAGACCACTGCTTAATACTGGGAAGGATCAGGCATCTCCACCAACCTGTCTTCTCATCACTGCAGGGAGAAATGCCCTTTTTTCCCTACTCTAGAATAATGCACCCTTTGGTTGGTTGGTTTTTTGTTTGTTTTAAACTCAGCAACAAGGAGGTTTCGGTTTGTGGCACAATATTTTCATTCCTAATCAAGTAGGAGTGCATACATGTCTTTAAGTAATTATCCATGAATTAAACATGCTTAGACACTGCAGTAGCTTAAGCACACCTTTCTGTAAACACAACAGTGAAAGCACATGTGCAGATGCTTAACTGAAAATCAACCATTGATAAATATGAAGTCTTGAAAGCAGTAAAATGCAGCAGGATGCTTAAAAATACACTGAAATAAAGGTATAAGGAACTTCAGCATCCTTCCACTTTAACATTAGCCTCTTTGGTTACATTATTTTTTATATCTTTTGCAGTAACTTACCTGTTTTGGCTGAAACTGACCAGTATTCTGCCTGCATGTCATTGGCAAAGCGGATAGCATCCAGCTCTGTCCTTTCACAAACAGCATCTGACTAAGTAAAAACCAAGGAATACCTTTAATGTAAGAAGCATGCTGGTAATAACACAGAAGTAGTGCTAGCACCTACAGTGGGATGCTTCCTGTTCTCACTGTAGCATTTCTGTCCTTCCCTGGGAACTCCTGCAAGCAGACAGCTGAAGCATTCAGATGCTTGGAAAATAAATTACTTAATGTTGTTTTTAAATTGGAAGCCCCCATCTACCTTCTGTTACATGAAGCAAAGTAACAAGGGCAACAATTGTACCTAGCTATGCAGCATGGTACAGAGCAATAAAGAAAACAGCACAGTCATTGGTCTTCAAATTCTTGTACAATCATTTGCCTTTAGCAGAAAGTCACTGGACTGAGTAATCATAATGATTTTTTTTGTTGTTGTGTAGTCCTTCTTCTGTCTCAGATCCTTTTTTTGTACTCAATCTATTCTTAGTATGTTCAAATACAAAGTTTTCTCTCCACACCTCCTGTTGTTTTTTTTTAAATTTCTCTTATCTCTTCTTTAAGACTTCTTCCCCCTTTAATACAGTTTTCTTTCTTGCACCTCATTTTCCCATTCATTTGCTATCTGTGATCAGTCATATCAGTATCTTGCCATTTGCTCACCACCAAATCTTTTTTTGTTCCAACCAGAAAGATGAAGATGGAATTTGGCTCATTTTCTCTCAAAGCATCTTCCAGCCACTGTCTGAAAAGCAGAAGAGAGATGAGAAAATCAGAGGCAGTATGGAATAATTGAGACAGAGACACATAACAGGGTAACAAGAAAAGCTCACAAGAGTGAGCTGATGCAAGAGTGCCAAAGGCCTTTATTCTGTTGTCTTTTTTTTTTTTTTTTTTTTGAGACAGAAAGGGAACAGGAGCTTTTCCAACTCCACTGAATGCACGCCTTCCACTGCTGAAAAGTGGAAACATGCTCCCAGTAGAGTGTAAATTCTACAATAATATTAATACTCAGAGACGAGTATAATAATACTCAGTATAATGGAAAAGGCAAAATTTTTACAGTGATAATGAAAAAAAAGAAGCAGAAGAAAAAATTATAAACAACATAACAGATTAGGCAACAAAGGGAGAAAAGAAGAGTGCAATAACTTCTCCAGTAAGATTACAAAGCATCTCCCCCAATTGCATGACTCGTCTCATAAGCTTGTATATTTTTGTTACTCTGGCAACCAAGTTCCTCTGGAGTCATCCAGCACAAGGCAAGGAGGGAAGAGTGCGTGGGGGCAGAAATCAGGTTCAAATGTTTCAGTTATCTTCATTCAAGCAGATACGCACACACAATATATATGTAATTTTATGAAGTCTTTTGTGGATGCATTAAATGCCACAGCAGTAGTCTGAGGAAAGACCCCAGTACACATTTGAATAAGACAAAGTACAAGCTGTGGAAAGACACGTATCTGCTTTACTGTCATAACAGCATGATAGAACATGTCAGCTCTCAGCCCGGTGACAGCAGTGTGGATCACAGATTCACAGTGTTTTGCTGCCTGTGCTTAAAGTGAAGCAAGTTTACTCACATCAGCTGGTGTGCTGCTATAAACAAACCATTTTAAGTACTGAACTAATACACCTTGAATTAAAAACGCAAGGTCTGTGTAGGTATATAACACTCTCAGGATCCAGCAAGTTCTCAGCAACTGCAGACTGCAATGCAATTAAACCTTCTGTGAAAGCTGTAAAAGCTGAGCCAAAATACAGAAACTTACTTGGTGTGATCCAAAGTCTGGATATTAGCTAGATCAAACACTGTTATTATAACTGTAATGAAAGGACAGGAAAAAAATAATTAAGTTTAAAAGCATATCAGAAATCTCTCCAGTTTAACTCATCTTGTTAAACAGAAATAACACACATACAGTACAACAGTGGATTTAACATGGAGGACTTAGGAGACACTGTTAGGCTGATCCCCCACCCTTTCCAAGACACAGGTACCAATTTTTAATCACTTCATCATCACAACATTCAGAGCTTGCAACAAATGCATTCATGAGATTTTCAGTCTCTCTCTCTTCCCAGTAATGGAAATGCCATTCCCTTGCATGTATCTACATGTGTCTTTCCAAGGAGCATATATAGGTGTATATACAATCTCATGTTACAGGCAGTATCAAATTAATATTGATCTCACCCTCTGCTCCTCGGTAATAAGCAGATGCAATGCACTTGAACTTTTCCTGACCTGCTGTGTCCCATCTGTGCAGTGGGGGGAAAAAAAGAAACTTTAGGTTGATGAAATCAAGCGTAACCTGAGCAAACATACTAATGAAGCAACAGACTGGTACAAGTTGGTAACACCTCTGTGGTATTACACTCTTCTCCATCTGGAACATGTTATTCATTAACTTCTGATAGAAATACAAGTAAAGCTCTATTACTTAATTAAGCCATTTCAGTTCTGGTTTTATCCAGAGTGAATTTTTTTAACTGGTCATTTTGGAGACTGTTCTTTGAGACACAATTCAAACATTTGTATTCTGTATTGTAATACTCTTTTCTTCAAACATCTCAACTTCATCTACATCACATTTATATCTTTCCATGGCAATCTAATTTTGAAAATGCATTTTCTGCACTAATACCAGACAAATCATACATCTGCTCATGCTGAAGTCTTGCAACTGATACTTTGATAGCAGTGCATTCACAATTCCATTAAAGAATAAATAAGCAAGTAAATAAATAAAATTGAAAAAGGAAAGAAAGAGGTGCTGATCCATGAAGATGATAGACAGTTCTCCCACCTACACCCAGTACTGCAGAGGTCTGGGACTTTGTTACAGCACAGCACTGCCACTACTTGCAGACGCAGCTTGTACAGAAATCTCTCAGCAAGAGGGGGCACCAGTGCTTATCGTATGGAAACGTTCTACATCACCACCAAGGAGTCTGAAGACAACACAACCTCAAGTTTAGCAGCCCATGAACCTTATTGTCTCAACTGACAACATACTGACTTATCAGTGCAGATTTTAAAGGCATTCAAACTCCAGAAAGGCAGGGCTGAATAGAATTTTCAAAAACAAAATGGCACCGAAATGGATAGGAAATAATTTGTGTGTTTGTCAGTAAATCTCATTGGCCATCTGTTTACATCTCTAGGCACTGATATTTCAGAGAAAATGTGTTCCTAAGCAAGAAGTTTCTTAAGATTCATGCACTAAAATGCTTCATCCAATGAATCGTATCTCTGCTCTGATCATGCTGTAGCACAGATAATTAAATACTGCACATTATAGAACAATACAGTTAGCCAGGTAAGATAGCAAAGGACATTCTCCAGTGGAACCAAAGCAGGTGTGAGAAGGCCAGGATTCCCACTAAGCTGATAAACATAGCTAAAAATCAGAAATGTTGCTTAGATCTTTTTGTGATTTAGGGAATGACATTTATTTTGCAATTAGGAGATGCTGAAATAATCAGTGTCCATAAAATTGACTTCAATTACTGCAGGAACCTCCCAGCCCCCTTCAGAAAGGTCAAGTTCTGTGCTCACAAAGCCTACTAAACCCAAATGGCAGAGTAATACAACACTAGCACCCAACAAAACAAGTTGCAAAAGCTTCTGCTCCTCTTCCAAGAAGCTTGAGTAAAAAAGATCTGCAAATAGTGCAAGACTTCCAAAATGAATTTTCATTGACAAAATTCTAATGTTTCCAGGAATGTGAGATCCAAGAGGAAATTAGAGATTTTACTTATTCATTTATTTCATTAAAACTGCAAGTGCTGGTGCAGAACCTGTTTTTCAGATCATATTATGCTATGGGCTTTTTTATTTATTTTATATCTTTGTACTACCAGAGCCTGTAGCAACTTAAACTCTTCTGAGATTGTATTGCATGTGGAACTTAAGCCACGTTTCAACTTACATCTGGAGATTATATGGTATGCCAACTATTTCAAAACGTTCAATTTCAAAATCCACCCCAATGGTCGCCTTGTAATCTCGTTCAAAATGATCCCTACAGAACCTGCAATGAAGGAGGGGGCAAGGATGAAGTTTTAGTAACTCATGGCTACAAATAGCTGCAAAGTAACACTAAGATAAATTATACAGAAAAGAACTAATAGTGGAGCGGTTACATTGTGCAGAAGCATTTATAAAAACATTGAGACATCAAAAAATAAAAAAAACAGTGAATAACAAACTGGAAAGTACATACATCTAGCAAGTCCTCAGGATGAAATAAGAATCAAAACAATTTCTTTGCACTGTCTAGGAGAGGCAACATCAAATTTTTAGTTACAAAATAATATATTTTGGGTCACAAACACAAAAGGAACATGTGATTATTAATGAGATTAATAGCCAGCAAGATTCCTTTGGAACACAGAAATAATTGAAAATGCAAACAGACAGAATGCAATCACAAGCTACAGAAATTCAGAGCTCTGTTCACCAAATTTGCAAGGTCTGGCAAATACTGCACTGTATCATATTTGATTGAATATATATTCAGTTCAGATTCCTGAAAGCTTTACAGCAACAAGTGTTTCGCTTTCAGCATGGAAAAGAACTGAACCAATCCATCTGCTGCAATACACCATACCTGTGGATGAGGCTCGTTTTCCCAACATAGACATCTCCTACCACAACCACTTTGGATATTTTCAGCCTGTTAGGAATATTCAAAATATTTCATGCTTTTAGTAGTAATTTCAATATTGTCACTGTAGCAATTCTGATGTAGATCCTTAAGTTGCGAGTGATTAATGCATCTGCAACTCCAGTTTACCTGAATGCCACAACGCTGCAGAAGGACAAAACAGTCTTAAATAGTAAGAAAGAAATTCTATGATTCTATGATTCTATGAAAAAGATCAAAAACTCTGGAGCAGAATTAACCATTTCTTACTTTGCATATAATTTCTATGGGGCAGAAAGACCTTATTAGAAATGCTTCCAAGGAAATATTATACACTTGGCAGTTTGTACTTAAGACCATATAGCATCTACATCCATAGAACTCTTCAAAAGTACAAGTTTATATTTTTCTGCCACTAAAATTAATTATGAGTTTTTCATTGACTTGAATAGTATAGAATCAAATCTTAAGTGCACAAATATGGAACTGCTGATAATAAAATAATTTGCTGATAATAAAACCCATTGCAGAATCTGTCTCTGGGAAAAAATAATGGTCAGAGCCAATACATTTTCTGACTACCTGAAATAACATTAATCTGAAGCTCGCCTCATGCCAATAATCCTCTTTGCTCCGGGTTCTCCTGCAGAATACAGCAGATGGGCTGGAGGTGACTCACCTGCACTCTTAAAATTGAAATGCAGCGTATCTGTCAGGAGATACAGGTGGATAAATGAGTGTACAGTATTTGTTGACTGAAACTTGGATTGACATCTCCCCTGCACATGCTACAGAAATGGCTTAGGAGGTTTAATATTGTTCTGTATCAAAGAATGGCTTTTTAAACAAAAGATTCAGTCTTGTATTGAATGCTGTATCTGCTTATATCTGGTTTAACTCACTACAAATTAAATCTACTACAGGTGTGTGTTCTGGGAGAGAGATGACTAGAAAAAAATTTAAAGAACATTAGAATTCAAGATTTATTTTTCATTAGAATTTTAGTCCAGAATTTTGCTCCAGTTTTAAGGAAACATTTAAGACAAATTCTCAGCATGGATACTTTTAAAATATTAAAGCTAGATTCTTATGTGCTACAGGCAACTTAAAACTGCTGTGTTTATATCTGCTCCAAAGCCTTTATCTAGTTCTTACTTGGTACACTCAGTATGCAGTCCTTTTGTACTCTCTAGTGGTGCCAGTACATCTGTTCTTGTCCTTGCAAATGCTCTAGGACTTGCTTTTCATGCTGACTTGCATGGTCAAAATTCAACACTAATTTTAAACAGTTGGTTAATCCTTTAAACTAAGTTATCTGTTACTAAGTAACAACTCTGTTTCTTTAACTTCACTTAAGCCAGGAAGAAAAAGATCTTTAAAACATATAAAGAAGCAGTATTTCATTCATTTACTGTGAAATGGTATAGAAGAACCACGGAGACAGGTTAAGCTGATTTCAGTCACAGTGGAATGCTCAACATGTGGAATCAGGAAAAGCTTCTGGAGGAGTCAGGCTATAAAGAGGTTAAAACATTTGTGTCTCATTGCACACTTGGGTTATTAGAAACTTGCCCAGCTGTTCCAGTGCTCTGCTGACAGGCAGTCCTGAGCTGTGCGTGGAAGTGGTCTTTGATCTGCAGACAGGCCTCAGGAGTGTACCACTGGAGACACAAGAGAACAGCTACTGAGATAAAGTCCATAATGCCTACTTATCAACAAGCCAAATCAGCAAGGTGAGATAGAAAAGGAGATTACTTCAAAAAGCTTGTGAAGCACAGAGATACTCCAGCTCATGAAAAGGGACAGTTTGGGTTAGAAGGCAGTAAGGCTGATGCACAGGTATGTTTGTACAGCTCCACCAAGTATCAGAGCCCTAATGAACTTCCACAGTAAATATATTTGTCAATCAGTTTGTACAATATTAATTATCTTAAATAATTCCAATAATCTAAGACATTCAAGAAGAACACAAGTGGGAACGCGTCACTAGAAAATCATTTGGACTACGAGTCTTTTAGATCTCTTACTTGTGAGAAGCACTGATTTTATTGCTAATTTTCCATTAAGCTTAGCAGGCTACAAACAAGGAAAGCATGTTTTGCCTCATATTTACTTAAAATAACAGTGACACTTTTCATAAAATTAAAAGCAAAATAGGAGGTTGAGATTGAGAATGAAAGAAGTGCAAAATCCTCTCAAAAAGAGTGTTTTGAACAAAATTAAAAACAGAATGGCAATTCTTTGTCCTTACCTGCCCCTAACCATTGCATTTTACTTCAAGGACAAAACTCTTTGGGGGTATGATGATCTTCACTATCAGTTTTCCTACAGTGCCTTCTACGTTTGATCTACAGTATGACTAAGTTTCCTACTCACACAGAAGATTAAAATTGCTTCAAATTCTTCAAGTCAAAGCTCCACATAGACCTAATTAGTCTTTCTGAATATTAAATAACAGCTATGGTTCTAATTTCCTCTCAGTGTAGGAACTCTGTAAGCGTGGTAATTATTAATGTTTGGCTAAAAGAACAGATATTGTAAGGTAACACTTCTGTTGCAAAAGTCACTTTCTGTTAAGGTTAGAGGAAGAAACCTGGTTTATTATTAAGTGCACCAGCACCAAACGGGAAAACAAGGTCACATTCACCTCTGAAATAAATACTTAAACAATTTGCAGTTTTAACAGAGGACATCAAATATACATCAAACCAAAATACTATCAGCACAAGGGAAAGACATGGCAGGTGATACATCCTCTGAGCAAAGTGATAAAGAACTCTTACCTTAGGAAACTGGGAGATTATTCTGTCCCTGCTCACTGGGGGAACCATATGCTTTGGGTTGGACTTCATCCTCCAAACTCAGGTCTGTTCTGCCAGATAGAAAACATGCAAAGTGAGACAAAATATTGAGGAATTGTCTCAACACAGGAAAAACATCAAAAACAAAAAATGAACAGTCCTTTTGGACTTGTTTCCTCCTAGTACAACTGGCAGCTCTTTGACTTCACGTTAAAGAAAACATGTTTCTCATGAAAAAGGATGATTTCTGTCTGCAGAAATATGGGAAGAAATAGTGGCTTTTTCTAAGTAGAAAAGCACTGAGTAATTCTGGAGGAGGACAGAGAACTGTTCACTTAATTCAACACAACTGCTATAGTTTAGTCCTCAAATGACTTTGTAGTGCTTAATTTAAAAAGCCCACACCTCACTATTTTAAATGCTACTGCATAAAGCATGTTTATTAATGTTAGGGCATACCACATTCCATTAGGTCAGAAGGGGAAAGGAGAAACAACAAAGTTGCCATATTTCTTGGCACAACATCAAACTTTCACTCAACATCAGCTCATAAGGAACAAAGTCAGTAGTTAGTCTGACATGGAAGAACAGCGTTCACAGGAAAATTACAATTGAATCAAGATATCTCACTTGAGAAGCAATGATATCGTTATGAAAAGAAGGGTTGTGGGTTATTGAGAGGGAACTCTTTGTAAGGCACCAGTTTCTTACTGGCATTCAGAAGAATCGAACGAGAGCAATCCTCATGCAGCAAACACAAGGAAGGACTCACCGTGCAGTGCAGATGCGGCAGGATCCCAGCCACACGAGCCGCCAGCAGCCGCGTGCCCATGGCAACAGGCTTGCAACAGTTCCCTTCCTCTCCTCCTCTCACGGACTGAGAAGGCGGGGTTGGAATGGAGCAATTTAACCATACGCAGGGCTCTGGTTTTAGAAGAACAAACCTGTTACAGTGGCCATGCAGATTCCTTTAATATTATGCATATTAGCAACTACAAAGAAAAAAAAAAACCTCCAGAGGTTCTGTTTTGCTCCCTTCCTCCCCCAGAATTTCAGCTTTCTTTCATTCCAGCCTTAGAGTCAGGATGTGCATGCAACTATGAGCCATTTTGAATCACATAAACGTCTCTAGTAATTACCAATCTTGACTGATAGCATATCAAACAATAAAGATAATAAAGAATAAAAAATCCCATTGCTCTTCCGTATTGCCTAAGTGTTGTTAATCAGTTTAGACTGCATTTAGGATGCTAAAAGGTTTTGCTGTTCATTTCACTTGGATATAAACTTCCAAATTTCAGGAAAAAAATAAAAGCCCTCACATTCAAATAATTGTATTTCCATAATGCTGCAACAGTCTTGGGCTTCTTAACATCCAGGAGACAAAAGTCTCCCATTTAAAAAAAAAATTAAAGGACAAGTAAATAAGAAAAAAAGAAAGTGTGTAGCATAAACAAAAACCCTGCAGTTGTTTTGCAACCATAAGCAAAGAATAAAGGTCAACAAAACTACCAGACCACTACTTAGAATTACCATTTTATTCTCTTTTGTGAGGAATTTCTTCTGTGAGGGATCACTTCAGGCACTCATGTGACTCGATCCACACTGAAAGCAAACAAACAAACAAAATACCCAAATTTACAGCCGATGTGTCACTGAGGACCAAAGATGACAGTGTTTATTTTTAACCATATACACAGTTCTATCAATCATACTCCTGACTGCTCCAAACCTGGATCCGCTTCGTGATGTGCTCCAAAATAACAGTTCTGAAAGCAAAAAAAGAAACCCTCCTGGTTGGTACCAGCATCGCACACACTGAATTTGCTCCATTTTCTCCTAGTTCTGGCTCAGCACATCCTCAGCGTGTACCAATCTGTCCTGAGTGCACAGCATGACTCATTGCTCGTCTCCTGGAGTTCTTTCACAAACTAAGCCAGGAAAAAATAATCAATTTAACCACCTCAGTGAATCCAAAGTCCAGGAGGACCAAGGTAAACAAGGAGAAGTGTTTTAAAATCAACAGGCCGTTTTCCTTTGGTGCATTTCAACTGAATTTCTCTCGCAAACGCACAATTACCAAACCAACAAATTAGCTGCAACATCAGGGGAAACAAGCCAGTGATTTAAGAAACACAAAGCTGCTGAAAGTGCTGAGAATTATAGGCACTGAGATCCAGGTTCTCTCTTCCCACAGAGCTCAGTCACAAGTCTCCATGGCACCACATCGCTCCCATCAACAGCATCAGCCACAGACAAAAGATTGAAGGCTTCAACTCTGCATAAAATCACTTAATACCATGACCACTGATTAAAATCACTATACCAAGGTGTGGTGAAAAAAGGATGAGATGAGTTAAAGCTGAGGGACGTGAGAAAGTTTTGACCTTCGCGTCTGCCATCTACGTGGACAAAAGTTCACATTCTTCTATAGAAATGGTGAAATTTCAAAAGTCTTCCATTTGTAAATATCTAATTCATTCAAGGAAACTAACTTCTACTTCAAACAATTTGTTCTTATTAAAAAAAAAAAAAAAAAAAGAAAGGAAAAAAAAGCACCCTTTCCCGAGGATATTTTTTAAAGCAGTACTTTTCTTCTGTGGATCTTGGTGATCAACAAACCAGAATCTATTCCAGTGTTTTACTACATTAGCTCCTTTACAGAGAAGGCAGTTGGCGTGGGCCCCCACACGGCAGCGATTCCCGCCCTTTCCTCACACGCGGACCCACCAAGCGCCGCTGGCCGCTCAACTCCCCTCGCCCCACGCTAGTAGCGGCCACACATTCCGATTCACCAACCACGCCGCGGACGCCACTGCCTTTCAACAACCACCGCCGAACGCGCTGGTTACGCTATTGACGCAAAGCTGGAAACAGTAGAGGAAAGGAGCGCGGGGCCGCGCAGTTTTTATTCACAGAGCTAGGCTTACGCAAAGGGCGGGTTGCTGTGGTAACCAGAACGCGGGCGCGCAGGCGCCGTAGAGCAGCAACCGGGGCTCAGGAGAGCGGCGTCTGTGATTTTACGGTCATTTGGTTTGCTCTTAAGAAACAGATGCTATTGTTAAGTAGGATTTTATATATATATATATATATGATTTTCTTTTTCCGTGCAGCTGTGTTTTGTTGTGTTGAGCAGTTTCCAGGGTTTCAGGCTGCTCCATTGCTGCGCTGAGGGCGGTGGGCAGTCAGCGATTCTTTCCAGGATCATTAACGAATTCCGAGGGCAGGTTTCCACTACAAACCTTTAGAAAGACCGTGTTTCTGAAAAATGGCTTTTTGATAGAATTTGAATCCCTTCGGTAGCATGGAACATTCTAAAGGCGTTTTAACCCTTTAAAAAACACTTCTCTCATAATTTTAAGCTTTCTCCTTGCTTCTTCTCTTGATATTTTTCAGTATTCAGTAGAAGCTCAAACCAGAAAGAACAGCTCATCTGATGAACCATCCCAGCCTCTTCTTTCACAGCTTCCTAAAACCTCACACATGCTGAAATTGTGCTTTGAAGAGACAGAACCATTCAGTTTTAATGCTAATTAATAGTGGTGGCTTTGGTACATCAGTTATTTGTCACCAGAGTCATTTTACAGTATTTTTTAAGTATAAGAAGAATCCTCCCCAGACAAATCAGGAATGGCAAGTACTCTTATCTCAGCCAAGCTTCCCCCTGATGTAGATCCAACAAAAGCTCCTATTGCATTTGGGAGGAGAGCTCTGCCTAAACTGAATAGAGAGATACAATCTCCTGAGGTGCTGACTCAGCAACGGGCATTGATGGCACTCTGTGATCTGGTCCATGACCCAGAAAATATCTACCAGGCAGTCCAAATAGGTAAGTGGTTTGCTGCCATAAGCTTTGACACAGTGGTGGTGACAGAGAGGGATGTGCTGTACTGTGTTGTCCTCTTTTTACTCCTGCGGTATAATTGATGAGAGAGAAATGGCCAGGAAGACATCCTGGTTTTAATCTCTACTTGTTTCGAACCATAAAAAAGTAGAGAATATAATATTATCATTAAAAAAAAGAAAAAGAAAAAGAAAAAGAAAGAAAAGAACAATCCACACTTCTTTAAAGACAGGCTAAGGGAACTGAGCTTGTTCAGGCTGGAGAAGACAAGGCTTTGGGGAGATCCCATTGCCACTTTCCAAGACTTAAAAGAAGCTTTGAAACAGGAGAGACTTTTTACATGAGCAGATGGTGATAAGAACAGGGAGTGGTTTTACCCTAAAGGAGGGGACATTTAAATTAGATATTAGGAGGAAATTCTTCATTCTGAGGGCAGTGAGGCCCTGGCAGTGCTGTCTAAAGAAACTGTGAGTGCCCTATAATTAGAGGCCTTCAAAGCAAAGTTGGATGGGGCCCTGGGCAGCCGGATCTGGTGGCTGGCAAGCAGCCCATGGCAGGGCATTGGGACTGGGTAAGCTTTAAGGTCTCTTCCAACTTAAGCCCTTCTGTGATACTGTAACTATAGAGAATGAAAAAATAGCAACAATGACCCCCTTTTATATTTCTTCATTCAACAGGTATCTACCTGCTTCTTGTTGAGTACCTCAAGCATAAAAGTACCACTCGACCTCAGTGGACTAGTGATTCATTTAGTGATTAACCAAAATTAATTTGCAAGGGCTATGAAGTCACTTTTTGCCATTCTTTCCTTCAGCAGTGGATAGCACAGCACACTCAGCTATAACTACTGGAGAGTGAAAACATCAGAGCTTTACACAGAATATTTCTCAGAAGTCTCATAATAATTGTAGAATGAGACTGTAACAAGAGCCTCAGGAACTTCATAAGAAATTAAAACTAAATAACCAGCTTTTTTATACTTCTCAGGATTACATCTGCTCACTATTTTTAATTAATATATATCCTAACATTAGGAATAATCTTAAATTTGCAGTTGAGGGGAAAAAAAAGTCATGCAAGGTTATGTTCATAACATTTTTTAGTAGTCAGTTGTGTATTTACAGTATCGTTATGTAAAAATGAAGTAGTCTTTAGGTTTGTCACTATCACACACATTTTCTTCATAAGAAGCACCAATAGTCATACAAAATAATGTAATCGTTGTTCAGTTAGCATTAGTTTTTTCTTCTCCAAAAGAAAGAAAAAACTAATTTCTTTTCTCTACTGCCAAACCAAGTTTATTTCAGCACGTGGAAGGTAAGGCTCTGTGCTCTTACACAGCCCTTGTGAGACTTAACGTTTACAGAAATGTAGTCAATCTGCAAACACCCGCTTTTCTAAAACAGTAACAGCACCACTGACATCAGTATACCTTTGTTTTTAGAGTTATATAACTTCCTAACTCTTAGCAAGGTTAGAACATAATCAGGTACAGAATTCAGCAGCTTGTTTCTAGTATTAACCAACAAGGTTAATTCAATGGGAACTTTCCATTATTCTCATCAGCTGTCAAATCAGACAATTATGTGGGGTTGATGTATACATTTTTATTCTAATGTGAATACACTTCAGAATTGACAACAGGGCATTTTTGGCTTTAAGTTTCTGCTATACTTGCAGTACCACACTGAGAATTTCAACCCCAGGACAAGATGAAAAACCAGACTGCTTGCACTTGAAATTGTGAGGCAGAAATGAGCATTGCACTATCAGACTAGTGCTGAAGTTATAAATACTAAAATCAATGGTTGTGTCACACAGGTTTCTTGGAGAACTTGAAGACCTTGCTGCTGCATCATGACAGTACTGTCCGAGAGAAGACAACAGAAGTTCTCTATATAGTGTCGATGCATAATGTTGGCAGGTAGGAATAATTCCTACCTAATGGCATAAGAAGTAATAAAGAAGTTTCTGTGAGAAATATTCACAGAAACTCAGAATTTCTAAGTTTTTGCAAGATAGAAGCAATGAAAAC